ACGACTACCTACGTAGATCGTCTACAGTACTACACACTAAATAACTAATAAACTACTAACGACGAACGAAGAGATATATATATATATATATATATATATATATAAACACACACACACACACACACACACACACACACACACACACACATATATATATATATATATATATATAGACTGAAAGGCGACTAGCAACGCAACGTTATACACTGATTCCGTGTACGTATATACTTAACATAATTTGTAACATCGTTCTTGGCACACGAGACAACGGGCGGCACGCGCGCACGCACGCACTACGCGCCGCTATTCCTTCTAATCTAGCTACGACCTACGAAGCCTCACCACCAACAAACTAGGGCAGCTAGTCTAGTCTAGTATCTCGCTGCGCTCGCTACTCAAGCTCGAATTCTTCTAACGTCTGCGAAACCTACTTAAAGCACCGTTTGGAGGGGTGGAGATAGACGGCACCGGAAATGACGGAACCGACAGGAGTGATCCATGCACAGGAAGCATAACAATTACACACATGACGTGAGATTACTATGGTAACGCCTGCAGGTCCGCTCTCACTATGATATTACACTTTGGTGTGCACATGCCCCGCCACCTGGCGACTGTACTGTGTATAATGCAAGTACATAGCTGCCATAGGCCATCACAGGAGTCCCATCCTGTCATACAGGATATGGCTGTCACACAGGGAATACCAGTGCATACATGGTAACATAGTATACATGATCATACATGGCACACCGGTTCATACATTGTACCCCAGTTCATACATGGTATACCGGTTCATACATGGCACCCCAGTTCATACATGGTATACCGGTTAAAACAGAGAATGCCTGTCATACAGGGTATGCCTGTCATACACGGTATATACCTGCTCACACACGGTACAGCTATTCTTCATACTGGGTATACCTGTCCGTACAGGGTACAACCTTTTCACGCAGGGTACACCTGTTAATACAGACTATGTCTGTAATACATGATATACCTGGTTGCACATGGTATAGCTGTTCATACGGGGTATATCTGTCGTACACGATGTACACGCTCATATATGGTATACCTACCTGTTCATACACGCTATACAGGATGCATCTGCCTTACATTGGTACCTGTCTTACTTGGTATATCTAGCTATCTTACACGCTATACCTGTCGAACACAGGCTGACTGCACAGGCCCCAATATTACATGCCTTCACGTGTGCTATCGTACCGTGGCGTGGTATTGTACTAATGTAATGCACCGAGTATTCTCTGATCAACACCCCTACCGTAAACCTTAATGATTTCATCATGCCCAGGCCAAAACTGATATCGACAATTCGATAAATCGTAGAGAGAAATATATCAATCACCTGTCTGTGTGCACCGTTCACCTGCAACAAGAGTATGGCAAACGACACACAAATAGCTAATCGACATCAATATCATCGAATAAAAGAATAAATATATGTTGGGGGGGGGGGAGGAGTGTCCACGCCAAATCATGCAAACTGCGACACTAGTTAGTGGTCTAGTTAGCAGTTAGTAAATTTAACAGTCTAGGCCAATGAGCAATGATTTCGATGATGACGTCACCATCAATTGTCAAAAACTGACGAGCTGGTACCATGCCTACTACGTACGTGTGGACAATCTTAAGACATCACGATACATACGAGATCGGTTAGAAGATTCGGGGATCTGTGATCAACTGTAGATCTTAAAATACAAAAAGAATGTATCAAAAGATAGAGACTATCAAGACGACAGAGAAATGGCGGTCTTCTGTAATTAATACACATCCGACCAGCTGGTAGCACCTTCGTTTCTCACACGGGCAGCAGGGAGGCGAATGGACAAGTAGTGTAATGCACCACGCAGCGTCGCGAACACCATCTTGCACATGCAGACGCACGCACGGAAGCTGGCACGCACGGAAGCTGGTACGCACGGAAGCTAGTACGCACGCACAGATGACGGCCGACGTGTACACGAACGTGCGTACGCACGAACGCGCGCACGTGTGCACACACGCACGAACGCGCGCACGTGTGCACATACGCACGAACGCTAGCATACAAATACTTCTGTATACCGATGGAATTCCTAAACTAGCAAAACCATCTTCGCCGCAATGGTAAAGCGTGTATCTCAGCCAGCCTCAGAAAGCATGTGGTGTACACATGAAAATTATCAAAGCGATGACAACTATCAAGCGTCCATCCCATGCTTCATTACCAGTGACCCAGACGAAGATGTACGCAGCAGTAAAGATTGACGAGTAGTACAAAGACATTATATGTGTTATTAATCTACACCCACTGCTGCCATGCAGACAGTCAGACCGATATCTGACGGCTGACTAACCAGTACACCACAAACATAGCCGAGACAGTGCGGACTGGCTGTCACTAACATCAGGAACGTATTTATGTAATGTGTACACGCGTAGATCCATAAACTGTTATAGATGAGTTCATGCTAACAGCCTAATGACCATGACAACACGTCATATCCGGAACTAAATCCGCTTGAGCTTTTGATTTGGTGGCATTTCCTATTTATTTGGCGATAAAAACTTCGCGATCGAATCAACTCGTTCCTCGTCATCGTCCTTTTGATTATCGCCTTCCTTCATTCGTGAAGAAGTGGTGCCAAAAAGAATATACGTGCTTCTCAGATAATTCGACAGAGATAATATCGCCATCTCTCCATGATTGTAACACGAATGCGCCGGTTTCCATAACTAGCACGAATACACCGAGAACTAACGCGACACGGCAGGGACGTCACTGCCCCCGGGTCAGGACAGCTGGAACCCTACTGCCATCTTTGTCCAGTCAGGCGTAAATACTGTCGGTTTTCGAGCAAGGCCTATTCCAGAAGCAACGACGATCTACTCGCTCTACCGACTCTGAGGATTGCGCGGACGAGTCACTGTGGGTGTGGAAGTAGACGATAATCCTGTGTTCCCAGGTTTAGCTCAGTATTCTCTCACCTCTCACCTCAAGTTCCCATCTGACAATGCTCTTCGAGCACCCTTCATACCTCATGATTGGCCGCCCCTCCCTGGCATCCACCCCTCCCTTTCGATTCTCCCTCGGCGCGAACGACTTTCACTGTTGACAAGAACACATGTCTAGTCACCCGCACCTCTCTTCCTCTCTCTCTCTCTCTCCCTCTCTCTCTCTCTCTCTCTCTTCCCATCTCTATCTCTCATGCGGCGGCGTCTGGTTGGTTGTGGAATAGCCCCTCGTGGTTAGCAGTTTATCACAGTCGCTGTGAGCTGGGTAGTACAGTGCGTGCTCAATGCGTTGCGTGCGCACTGAGCGACAACGTCTTTGGTTGGAGTCGCCAGCTGCAAGATGGCACTGTCAAGATCACGTCATCCTGCCAGAAGCTGAAATTCGTGTGAGAGAGGGAAAACGTTAGAATTGAGCCACAATTTTCACACGCATATACACCACATTGTCGACTCTGTGGAACTTAGAAGTGTTTTTAACGCCCTATCCAGGGCTCCTTCTGGATGTTTTAGTTTGAGCCAAGACTTGAGCAACCAGTTATTTTTTAGCCACCAATGAAAAACTATAGCCACTGTTAACTTTATCGTATGTGCTAAGCACGGCATAAATAGAAGATGGATATGGGAAATCAGATGTACGAGAACATTTTTAATAAAGTAATCAAGCAAATGAAATAATGTTGTTTAGTCTACACAAAACTAGCTTCCGGAACATGTTAGTACTTACACGACACTGCAATTTGATGATTTCATCATTCAATCGTAATTTTGTGAGCGGTTAAATCATTCGCCAACTGCATTCGCCACTTAGTGTTAAAATCGCCACTGTTATTTATTTATCGTATTTTGCAAAGGTGGCAAACGCCAGCAGTAGCCCTGCTTATCTGTAACGCCGATTGGCTAGAACTACCCGTTATTTCCTCCAGGCGGATGGCTGGATTGCGGATGTTACTTATCGACACCATGCAGGGCCCGCGATCATTCGATCAATGATCTTACCGTCACTGATGTCCGCTGCCTCTGTGTAGCTGTCCGGCCGACTCGGTGGTTTCTGCAGCATCTTTGGTCTAGGTCTCGCTGCCGCAGCATGAGGCTGCATCCTGCTCCACGGCATCTGCTGCAAGCCCGCTGCCGCCGCTGTCGGCTGCCGGATCACAAAATCTGTGGCACGCACGTAAGCAAAATGAGTGAGGTCTACACACGTGTGAAGCATAGGCGTGAATAGTGAATTTGACGTGTTATAATATACAATGTGTATCACGTAATTAATGTAATGTATAATGAAATGTATGTTAATATGTAATGCAATGTATGTTAATATGTAATGCAATGTATGTTAATATGTAATGCAGTGTATGTTAATATGTAATGCAATGCGATGTAATGAAATAATATACTGTACATACATTGCAATGTTATAATAGTAGTATTCGGAATCTGAGTAAGTGACTGTGGCTGCTTTGCCTTGCAAAGTGATACAAATGAAAAACACGCTTTTTGCTATGAAATGGTGGCATACTATATACCTCTCCTTACCTTATTCAGATCCAACCCTTCCTAATATTCTTCACAAAATTGATCATTTATTTTTTCTCTATTTATTATCGGCAATTATTCTTATCATTTTAAACAAATTCCTCAAAATAAGGCCGAAATGCATCCAGAGGGCATCAAATAGCAACACCTTGGGGCCTCGAAACATCAGCCTCACTCAGACAACCCCCCTTATAAAAAAAACGGAAAAAACCTGTGCCCGGCTTGCTCGGATGCGATCATACGCGGCGCGGCAGCAGCCAGCACTTACCTGCTGTCGGCGTGTAGTGTGCCGGATGAGCGAAGCGCACCACGACGGGAGCCGTCGCTGACTGACCGTGTACGGGAAAGACTGCCTGCTGCTGCTGCTGCTGCTGCTGCTGCTGCATGGACACGGGACTACCGCTCCACACTGCAGGCAAACGACTGCATGTTAGAATCACTTGTGAATGACGCACTGTGGGCGCGACACGTGTCAAATGCGTTGCGTTGTGATGGTCATGCGTATTTGAGCGAGCAAGTGCAATAAGCAGTTACGAAAATATCCTCAGCTTGAGGAGCAGCGCGCCCGCATTCTTCTCATCCTTTTACTAAGCGGCTACCTCAATACATTATTTAGCATCTGCTTCTACATCCGTCTCTATACCTGCCACTATACCTTGCGCTATAGCTGGCTCAATACTTTATATAGCATCTGCCTCTATACCTGTTTCTATACTTTCCGCTATAGCTGCCTCAATACCCGTCCTACACCTGCCTAGCAAGTGGCTCATCACCTGCCTGTACACCTGCTCCACACCTGCATCTATACCTGCTTCAGACTAATATCAGCCGCGTTCACACGTAGCAAGAAATCCGGTATTTAGCGTTCACACGAGGCAAAATGCGCGGTCCAAGAAATACGGTATCTAAACAGATCCGGTATTTGATGTAAATACGAGGCTTCCCAGACCCCGAATAATTTGCCGTGCTTGAGAAATACCGGATCTCTTGGACCGCGCATTTCTCGTGTGAACGCTAAATAACGGATTTCTGAAGCTGCGTATTTTATAGACTGGTCCGCGCTCGACAGTTCCAGTGTAACGCGAGTGGAACTGTCGAGTGCGAACCAGTCTAAGTATTTTATCGGCAGTTGGTGCGCATTGCATTGTTTATTTCGCATTGTTCGCTTGATTGTTTAAAGCAGCTCGCAGCTCGCAAATACCCTATTTCTGGAGCCGCGAATCAGCGTGTGAACGCTCAGCCGCGTATTTGTCTCAGATTCGGTATTTCGCAAATACCGTATTTCATAAATACGAGGTCTCGTGTGAACGAGGCTAATGTCAACCAAACGACGTCACCATCGCTGCTTCGTTACTCTACCTGCGCCGTTGCCCTGCACCTGCTCGCACACCTGCATCTATACCTGCTTTAGACTAACATCGTCAACCAAACGACGTCACCATCGCTGCTTCGTTACTCTACCTGCGCCGTTGCCCCACACCTGCTCACACACCTACATCTATACCTGCTTCAGACTAACATCGTCAACCGAACGACGTCACCGTCGCTGCTTCCTTACTCTACCTGCGCCGTTGCCTGGTATCTGCATCTGCATGTGTGCGGGGAAGGCGACGCGCACTGCCGCACCGCCCGCCATCGGGGCCGCCTGCACCGCGCCCGTCCCCGACGCAGCCACACTGTAGTAGACCGGCCCACCCGCCGCTGCACCCATGTAGGAGGCGCCACCGGGCTGGGCGGGACTGCACCCCTGCGGGCCGTACTGAACCTAGAATGCGTGGATAGCGATTGCGTTAGCGACTCGGGCAGTCATTTTCAGCGCTCGTAATGCAACGAGAGAACGATGTTGAGGTAACGTGGAGGAGGGTGACCGAGGGGTTTTCTCGAGAATACGTAAGGTTTGTAAATCTGCACTGGTTACACGCTGCCAGTCACAACAACTGTTACATACGTAAGCTTACGTATGTATGAAACTATGTTATTCAAATAAAAATGAATAATTATGAATATTTGTAAAAATTTAATTACGTTTTTTTCAAAATTTGTTTATACATACACACCTGCGGGTAACTTGTCTGAGCATGTTCATATGGCTGCCCTGGCATTTGATACGCAACTGCATTGTATCCTAACAGGAAAAAAATCTGACATCAAAATTCATCGTTTGAATGTGAAAAAAAAGCATAAAAATTAAAAGATGAATGAAATTCTAGGAACGTTTTAGTTGTAATATTAGCAATGATATCAGTCTAATTAGCAATAACTTCTCTCACCTGTTATAACAGTAGCAATAGTCATCACAGAGCTATGTTTTTGGACAGCGGCTGCACGGATACACGACAGCGCGATGAACCTCAGGAGTCGTGGCGCGACCGACATGCCAAAGCGATTGCACCGCACCACGGGTACGGGGGGATGACTTACCATGGCTGAGAAACTGCTGCTGCGCATGCGCTTGCTCAGTGAGAACAGATGGCGAGGGAGGAGTCTGCTGACCAGCTTGATGTGGACTGTATGGCGCTTGGTAGCTAAAGTGAAACACAAGGGTCACCTTCAGAGATGTAGCTGTCGACTTGAGGAAATCGTGCGGTTCGTGTGAGAGTGATAAGTATTGCGGCACCTTGATTGTCGCTAGGTCGTCAGTCAAGTGAGACCAGTATCTACATGCATATGCACATTTGCTCGCTGAAATGTCGACTTACTTGCATTTCGTTACTAAGCCTTGTCTTTAAATGTCCTATCTCAATAGTTAATGGTTATTGTAATTATTATTACTATAAGAAATAATAATATACTACTATAACAATAGTAATTACTGGCTAGAGCTGCCTGTCAATCACATCGCAGAGATATGTCAATCGTGACACCTAACAAACTTGGTGTGTTTACCAAAACTCTTTGTTTGCGTGAGTGTCGCGCGATGGTGACAGAACGTCATAACTGGCGCTCCTCACGCATACTCACAAAACGTTAAAATGCTGAGCAGGACCAGCACCCGGATGCTCCCCATTAGCCATCAGGTGGCACTGCTGGCCAGCTGGCACCTGCAGAACCATCATAGTTGGCTTTTGACGGGAGCCATACTGAGCAGCAGGCAATAAAATAAAACGCACACTGTCACGCCATCAACGATCACACATTACCCCATACACGAACAATACGAGTCATGCGTTCACACAGTCACCTACAATTTGCTAGTGTACACATAATTCAGCATACCATACACATACATGCTAACAGGTAGGCACTTATGAGCTGACACTTTAGCGTTACTGCCTTATAATGTTGACGCGAATATATGTGGAACATACACGCCAAATTGTTATTCAACATGGTGCAATCTTCAAGTATTTTACTAACCGGTTACTGAACCGAATTGTAGCATATATTATCTTACAACTTTCCTCAGGAAACTTTCCTTACTGGCCTAAATTGTATGCTATCAATATTAATCAACCTTAATGGCTTTAGTTGTCCTTATATAATGACCTTGATCATGCTTCAGGCTTAGAGACAATGTTATAATCTTTCAGTACAAACCAAATTCGCAATACACGCAGGTGTGCACATGCATTACCGATAGTTAACCTTTGATAATACAGCCATGCTGTTACTAGCAGGTGCAAACCTGTTGGTAATGCTGCTGCTGCTGTTGCTGCTGCTGTTGTGGGTGGTGGTGGTGTTGTTGCTGCTGTTGCTGTGGTTGTTGGTGTTGTGGCTGCTGCTGCTGCTGATGATGATGATGCGGATAGAACTGGGAATGATTAGTCAAGGTCGGCGTGGCAGCTTGCTGCTGTACAGTTGTCTGCTGTGGGTTAACTTCACCTGATGGAACCTTGAATTGTGACGGTGGCGTCACATGCATCTGTGACAGCTGTGTCGTTACATCACTCCCGCTCGATTCCTGGAAACACGAAAACATCAAAACCTCTCTGTACATGGCACGCCACCTTCATATAATATTGTGGAATTGCATAAAAAAGAACTAGAAAAAATAAGCGATTTTTTAGGGGCTGTTACGGATAATAGTGCCCGGGTAACTGGATAGCACTTAAAGAGGTTGGTTCTGGCAAATAGCTATATTCTAAGAAACATGAGTGTACATGAGCATTCTGAGCATACCTTAAAATGAATCCCATCACAGATCAGCTGGCAGCAACCAATATATTTCAGAATATTTTATATAAATTACCAGAGTACACCTGTAACCTCAGCGATGTAAAATAAGCGATATCAATGTGGCCCCTTAATTATAGTGAATGCATTTCCACAATGAAACAAAACAGTAAATAACTGCAGCTCCTTATCATACTTTGTGAAGTTCATTGGCAATGGATCATATTCAACATTGTTCTTTTGAGCCTGAATACACTCAGGATGTGGGACAGTTGCAGGATCACAATTTTCAGAGGTCGAATGAAAACGAATCGTCTGCTCAGGATAGTGACTCTGCACTTGGCCAAAACTATTTTGGCAATATTTTGTATACATGAACGTCAATAAAATGTTGAGAAATTGAATGTAGAATATTAATGGTGTACTACAATATAAAGCCAAGCATATCCTTCAACTATAAAGGAAACACAACTTACATTAGAGCACTGCCTCCAGAGAACTTGACTCTCCTGTACAGGAGGGGACCCACCCACATCCTGCCCACGGTCCTGCGATCCCGGCTGGTGCGCAGGATACGCTGTAGCTTCGCCAGGTGGTAGCACCTGCTGACTAGGTACGCACCCTGGTGGCAGGAGGCCCGGTACGTGTCTGTACACTGTGTTGTCCTGGTTCAGGTACGGATGACCTGGGCAAATGAAACATAAATCTGTGCAGGTTTAAATCCTTAAATGTTATATTTCTACAACACACAATATACGCAACATGTTATGAAATTATTAATGCACTACTCAAACAATGTGCCATACAACTTTCGAACACTGCGAGTTACGTACGTTTTGAATCAACACGGTTCAGTAAAAATTAACCAAGATAGATCTATTATCTACCAACCGAACGAACTTATTTAATGAGTAGTATGAGCAAGAGATTACCTGTCTCCTGGTTGATGAGTATTGCACCCTCAGGCACCGACTCTATGTCACTGACTGCCCACAGAAACAGTCCCTGCTGTGCCAGCGTTGCTAGGTGTAGGAATGGTCCTCCTACCTGCAGCGGTGTTGCCGTGGCAACCGCTGGGGGTGGCGGCGAATGGCAGGGCTCACTTATCTCCTGTATAACCTGCGAGACAGAAGCAGTCGTCACGGTTACAAACACAGGTGGGTTACTTTCCCTGATGGTACTATGACGGTTTTAATATCGGGATGATAGTAATGATAGACATTATACTTTGATACATTATTACTATAATTAATCACAGTTAATTTCAAGACTATTACCATTATTATAAATAGCATAAAACCTAGCACAGGTACAATTATAATTACTCATACCATAATGAAATCAACGATAATAATGCAGAAGCTAGTTCTATATCTTTAATTAATGACAGTAGTGCAGGTGCCTGTAATTACAATATTAATATCGTAATATAGTATTAGTATTCATTTAGTTTTAGTTAGTATACGTATATAGTAACTAGTTAGCCTCTTAAGACATATAATTTTGATAGATAGTTAATTAAATTAGCTATCGAGGCATTGCCCAACGTCCCGGAGTCTCACTAGGGGAGCGTGCGTGCATGCGTGATGAGGCGCTCACCTCTGGGCGGGGGCTGCTGTTGGTGAGACCGAGCTGTGGGGAGGGTCCACGCGAGCTCGTCACCACCTCAAGACTCTGCTGCCGCACAAGTGCAAACTCCGAGCACGAGCCGACTCTCTCGCTGTCAAGCGAATCTGAAGCCAAAAGCAGGTGGTTACATTAGTTACAGTGACGTGGATTCCCTGCCTTCACCTACCTCCCCTCATGTAAGCACTCATCCCTCCACCTGCCTCCCCTCATGTAAGTACTCATTCCTCCACCTACCTCCCCTCATGTAGGCACTCATGCCTTCACCTACCTCCCCTCATGTAGGCACTCATCCCTCCACCTACCTCCCCTCATGTAGGCACTCATCCCTCCACCTACCTCCCCTCATGTAGGCACTCATGCCTTCACCTACCTCCCTTCATGTAGGCACTCATGCCTTCACCTACCTCCCCTCATGCAGGCACTCATCCCTCCACCTACCTCCCCTCATGTAGGTATTCCTCCCTCCACCTACCTCCCCTCATGTAGGCACTCATGCCTCCACCTACATCCCTTTACGTAGGTACCTCTGCTCATGCCTCCACCTACCTCCCCTCACGTAGGTACCTCTGCTCATGCCTCCACCTACCTCCCCTAACGTAGGTACTCATCCCTCCACCTACCTCCCCTAACGTAGACACTCATGCCTCCACCTACCTCCCCTCAT